AGAGAAACTGTCCTAAATATAACTTAAGGAATAAAAACGTTTTTTTCTTACCTTGCATTCATACAACAGTATGTAGAATGTGGGTTTGATTCCAAATTTAGAGTTATAATCGATTGGTTTATACAAGCAGATGGTGCCCCACTTCTTTTTTGTCTTTATCCAGGGATAAAATAGAAAGTCCAGACTCCCAGAAGGCAGCAGTCTGCCATCTAGGTCTGGCTATCATCGATTTTATTATGGTGGAAGCAAAACAACAAACGTAAGAGGGAATTAATGAGGATGTTTATCAAATGTGAAGCGCAGTTTTGATCTTCATTTGTTGCTGGTTCAGTGAATTTTGATTGGAGACTGACAAAATAGTGATGTGTCGGTCGCAAACAAAATGGCTCTTAGAGCCGGGTCTTTGACGTGAACGACGTGAGTCGGCTCCTTATCGTGAGCTGTGGGGTTTTTTTCTTATTCCTTCTCTCATCCTCTCTCGCACTTTTTTCCGCTTCACTCCACACGCGAGTCTTGTGTTTTGTGCTGGGAAGAGGGGGAGGGGCGGTAGTTACACTGGCAGTAGCACAGGAACAGAGCGGGAGGGAAAGAGAGAGAAAGAGAGCCAGGGACACCAACGTCACATTAGAAAGGTATAGTAATCATCCACAACTATTTTCAGTTGCAGATGATAAAGGATTCAGAAAGTTTATTCATGCAGGCTCATATGACAGAGAATATGCATGTTCTTTTTGTTTTCATATTTTAATTTATATTTAATTGTGTTGTGGTTTGCAGCATTTTGTGTTTTGTGTTTCACTTTAAATTTGTTTAAAAGGAAAAAGCTGAAAATGTAAATAGTTAAAAGTTGAAATGTGAATAGTTGGTTTTTGTATTATATGATTTATTTATTACATTTTATGTGGAGTGAATAAATAAAAGTATATTTACGGTGGCCCCTAGAGACAAAGCACTTACAAACACGTACGCACTTCGAAGCACGTACAAACTCAAAAACACGTAAAAACTCAGAAGCACATAAAAACTCAAAACACGTGCAAAACACAAAAGAAGTGCTCCAGGATGCTAGGCGCAGTGTTGAGCTTTTGTTACCTAGTGGCTACACAAGCCAGCAAGTACCAACGACCGGATTTGGTGTGTGGTAGTAACAGGTAGATGAACATTTTTTAAAAATTATTTGAATATATATGAGTGCTTGTGTATAAATACACAAACAATACACATATGCTTTCAATTGTGTAATTTAAGTCAGCGGTCCCCAACCTTTTTTGCGCCACGGACCGGTTTATGCCCGACAATATTTTCACGGACCGACCTTTAAGGTGTCGCGGATAAATACAACAAAATAAAACTAGTACCGGTACCGAAAAAAAGCCGACCCTCGTCAGTGTAACCCCAGCTCTGAAGTGTTTTCACAGCGATTTACCTTACTATCCCTTCGTGTCTCTGTGTACAGATTCCCTGGACCTACCCCTGTGTTACCCGAGTGAGTGGAGTGTGAAGAGGAATGGACGGAGTGTGTGTGTGTGTGTGTGTGACTATCGGCGTCTTTCCCGTTCGTGTGTGGACCCCCGGAGCCCGGCTTTCCCCTCACTTTTGTAAATAATCACCTGGTGTATCATAATAAAGACTCTTGTGCTTTCAAGACCTAGAGCCTGCGCGTGAGTCCGTTCAGTCCCGTTGTGACAATAACGCTGAAAACCGATAAAAACCCTGAAAACCATACATTTCACACCTGAGCCTCAACTCTCGCGGCCTGGTACCAAACGACTCACGGACCAGAACCGGTCCGAGGCCCGGGGGTTGGGGACTGCTGATTTAAGTGATCTAGGTAGCTCTGTTTTGGAAGTTCAGTTAATGCTAGAAATGTGTTTTGGAGTTTGTTAGTGTTTTGGAATTTGTACGTGCTTTGTCTCTAGGGGCCACTGCATATATATAAACATATATAAATAAAACCACTTTTTTTTTACATTAGTAATTACTTTTGTGCATAATTTTATATTATTGTTAATAATAAATTAATTAAAGCAACAAGACAACCTGAAGAGCCGGTTCTGAGCCGAAAGACCCGGCTCTTTTTAGTGAGCCGAGCCGAAAGAGCCGGTTCTCTAATAAGAGCCGGAAATCCCATCACTATGACCAAACATGCAGCATCAGAATCTGTGAGATGTCAGCTTTCAGACCTGATGGCAGGTCTGCGTACGTGCCATCAGGTGAATGATCCACGCTTTGTGTTTACATCTTTGTGCGAAATCCATTTACCTGCTCTCATTTGCTGTTTTAGCTGTTTGGTTGTTGCTGAAATAGTTTTGTGAGCTTTAACCTGAGATTGTTGGGTTTCTGGCAAAATATATTTATATTTAAAAATCGATTCAGGATTTAATTAATCAATATTGCGTTATTTAAGCTAAAATCGATTTGAATTGGAAAACTGATTTTCTAAACCCACCCCTACTGCCAATTACTGGCAGCCGGCTCTTTGCAGGCTGTTTCCAACTATGCTGATTAAAGAGAAACTACCACAGGTTTTTTATAGGTAATAATGCACACTTTTTAGGTTGCTTCAATAAATATTAGAGATGGCACGATACCACTTTTTTATGTCCGATACCGATATCATAAATTTGGATATCTGCCGATACCAATATGAATCCGATATAGTGTGTTTGAATCAACAAAACTGTTTTTTAAAATATCTTGCTGCATTTTGTATAAGTTCATACTCAAGTTTAAAACAACAACTACACTAAAGCTATTCTGTTATACCTGTATGCAAAAAAAAATATTTCATAGTTCAGCAATACTGATCAATCTAATAAACTTAAACCTACACCATCTTCCCTATTCTGGTATTTTAAAGAGTACTTAGCGTAAATATTAAGCAACCTAACTAATAGGGTTCCAACTCCCAGCAACAACAAAAATAAATAAATAAAAAATAGGGAACCACCCTCTACCTCATGATGCTTAATCGACGTAATCAACCTTAATTTGATGCAGTGTGGAAAAAAATGCACAGAAATAAATTATTTTTCAATATATTAAAATATTAAATAGATTCAACATCTTTCTTCAACAAAATTGCAGACTGCACAGATGGTACCTTCCCAAAGGAAAAAGTACTATAGCTTACTAGGGTATATATATTAGACTTAATAGTTACTATATACAGTAATGGACTTCTATTCATTTTGCATCAAATTAAAACTTTGGGTGTCAGATAATTATTTATTAAAAGCTAGACATTTTAAATGAGAATAAGAAAGAAAAGTATGTCTTTGTGCCTCCTTTTCCCTGTTAATGCCCTATCGGCCCCCCTGGCTAAACTGTGTATCCGCAGATACACAGTTTAGATCCGCCCCTGCACAGTTACCAGCGTCAGCTACGTAGAAAAAGATCCTGGTGTAGAAAGTAATATTAAACAAATTCTAACAACAGCTTAAACGTGCTGCTGTTGTTTATCCGCTGGTTTCCTCTTTCTGGTGCAAAGTGGGCCAAAAACAAACAAGACAGACGGACTCGCAACAGAAAAGCCGATCAGCTGATCATTAAGCAATTTCATGATTGAAGTAGCAGCAAGAAGAGGCAGTCGCTCCATATATCGTTTGTTAAGCTTAACGCAGGAATACTTTACAAACATTCAGAGATGGACTTACACACTTGCTTTACTTCTCTTGGGATAACTTTGTCGGAGATGAAATGCCGGGTTGCTAGTGAAGCTCCACATGCTATCCAGACCACCGACAGGTCCCGCATGCCACAGCCGCTCTATCACGTGATGCATACTGCTCCGACGTGCTAACGTTCTGAGGCGAGTTACGGCGTGTTGCAAGTTTTGTGAGGAGCTTTCGTGATATTTAATGGATCGGATTACATTTTTTATTTTTCTCCGATATCCGATCCAGTAATTTAGGTCAGTATCGGACCAATACCGATACGTAATATCGGATCGGTCCATCTCTAATAAATATTAATATGTTATTAAATAGAAACCGTCAGTTTTGCATTTTGCAGCTCTGTTTTCCACTTATTACACAGAAACTACCAGGTAATTGAGTGGTAATAATTTAGAAACTACCAGATTATGACATTCTTGTGCATTGTGTGTGTGTGTGTGTGTGTGTGTGTGTGTGTGTGTGTGTGTGTACTATTGCCACTTTATTATTGAGCTGTAATAGGAAATGTTACCAAACTTTTTTTATATACATAAAATATACATTTTTTTTCTCATGCACTTGGTCAGTGATCACCACTCTCATGCTTTCAATAGAATAAGTTGCTCATTTAACATGAGTGAAACTGTGACAGAGCATATTGGCACAGCTCAGACAGTATCCAACTGGACAGCTTCATACCCTGTTCTAAGGTAACAGATGCTGCCTTTTCTGTATTCTCAGTATTTTTGCTTCTTTGGGAACTTTTAAAATAACACTTTAAAATAATGGAAATTCAACAGACATTTCCTGTAATTAAAAGAGTTCAAGAGATAGGAAGCTCAAGTTAGAAGCTTGAGATAGAAGTTCAAGCTCCTCTTGAGCTTCTATCTCACACACACACACACACACACACACACACACACACACACACGCCCTCTTACAGCATCCATAAGTGACTGAGACTCTCTTCTAGACACCCACAGGCACAATGTACATTTCATATTTTTAATTTAAATAGTTCAGATTGTCTATTTTATTTAATTCATTTAATGTAGAGAATTCATCCACTTGCTGCACACAATGCCACTTACTGCATATAGTGTCCCCCGTGTATATATTCACTTAATGTATATAATGTTCTTCTCTCCCCTTTTGCACAGTCGAGGAGTGTGTCAGGATACATTTCACTGCATGTTGTACTTGTATAACTATGCATGTGACAAATAAAGAATCTTGAATCTATCTTGAATCTTGAGTTTCAAAGTGTTCATGTATGTATTTTGTTACAGTTTTTATGGTAAATAAATCTATTCCTACTGCTTATTATTTCTTCTTTGTTAACAGAAATCTTGGTAAATCAGGGCTCAGAGTATCCTGCCTTGGATTAGGTAAGTATGGTATATATGGAACATATACAAATTTAAGGTGTATTCTGTATTCAGTTTTCTTTAAAATGACAAAATACCCGGTATTCCCTTGATACTGTGTGATAAGTCATAAAAATGTGAATCATTTTAAAAGAAATGTTTTACCATGTTAATTATGACGGTTCAGTATGTCCATTTTCAATTTATAAACTATGGCTGTAGTGATGCTAGCACATTTTAGCAGCTCTGGTAACCTTATTGATGTGATAAATATGAACAGATATTCTTTCTCTGACTTTTTGGATCAACAACAAGTACTGTAGAAGTTTTGTCTCGTCTCTATCTTGTATCTACTTACTTTTAAGAAGTGTTGAGACATCCAGCAGTTGATGTCATTAGTGCAGCTTATTAATTTGTGGATGGATTTTTTATCATCAGAGGAAAGTGATAAGTAATACTGTGTAATGTAATGGACCGAGGACTGACACAACTGATTGAATTTTTCATTTGTGCAGAACTAAAATTGCGAATTGAAAAATAAAAACTGTTGAGCTGTTGAAATTATTTTTAAAACAGTGAAATACAGATGGGGATGGGGTTGAGTAAAGAGGTATAAGACTTGATGAATGACTGCTTCTTTAGGATTTACAGGTTAGAATGTGAGCATTGAGCCTGTGGCAGTAATTAGATCATTATGTGAGGGAGTGCTAGATAGATTACTATGAGAGGCTAAGATATTACACAAGACACCAATTCATCACACCTATTTGTTGAAAGAAATTCAGTTGGTATGTTTTTGGAGGCATTAAACAGTTTATCAGTGGATGAAGACAAAAAAATGGAATAGACTGGATTTTATTGATCAATTGGGAGATGTAGGATTGTCTGGCTGATTTGATTCCATTGTTGGAGAAGTAAAGTGCATTATTTCTTTTTTTTATTAATTTATGATGATGATGATGATGATTATTGCATCATTCTGTAGGATCTCCAGCAGTGTCTGTTTACCACGTTTACCTTTACATTGTTTCTCTAGGGTGCTTTTGATGAACCACATTCATTAATAGTTTTGACAGGGGCAATGTGGTCAATCATTTGATAAATGGTACTACAGAATGTGTCCATCATTTCATCACATAATTACAGTAGTGTACACTTTGAAAACTCACTGATGAATAAATTCAGCTTTGCTGTCATTGATATGATGCTTATTGACAAATCAATTTGTATTTGTTTTTGACAGATGAATAAAATATTTATGAAAAGAGAAAAATAGCTCACCAATTTCTTCCAGGAAGCCGTGTCTCAGTCTGGGAGGATGATATATAGTAAGCAGTAATACAGCAGGAGAAACTGACGTTATAGAATAAATCGACGAAATAGAATTATTAAATCTACATAACTAAATATTTAAAACTCAGATAATTTTCAAGTAGCAAAGTTTTACAATAAAAAAATTTGTTGTTATAAATCACATTGCCCCTCTTGTTTTTATGGATGCAATGTTCAAAAGTGTAATTGGTGGGTGATGCTTCAATCAGCTCTATATTTCCAGTGTCATGAAGCCAGGTTTCAGTAAGAAGCAGTCTGGTCCTGGGCCGGGACCACCTGATCATCTTGCATAACATGTGCAGGCTTAAGTCTGTCAACAGAGACACCCTCCTGCCAACCGCCAAAGTCCAAAAAGAAATGTTTTTCGCCCAGTTTAAGAACGCTGTGTGGCCCGTCATATGGTGGACACAGTCCTATGGGCATCATGCCTGACGAAAACGAAACGAGCAAAGTCCAACGACCTCAGAACAAAAGTGTCAGGCAGGCAGTGGTGCACAGGACCAGGAACAGGAAATGAGTGTCTTGGGGGGCGAAAAGGCAACATAGAGGTATCGAAACACGGGGGGGGGGGGCTCTCATGTAGTGATGTTCGATTCGTGAACGAATCGTTCAATACTTGAGAATCACTTTACTGACTCGTGAATCATGATTCACAAGCCCAACTGACTCACTGACTCATCCCTGTTGCTGTTAGCAAACTAATTCCATTAGTAGAAATATATCTAGCTTATAATTAAAATTGTGGGGGAAAAACAACAGCCAGTTTCGTAACAAAAGCATTTCTGCTCTGAACTGGAAGAAAAAACCCTGAGTAGAAGCTCACATCAAGAAAATAGCTCCTCGGTTCAGAGTAGCATCGCGCTGCTAACATGCTAACAACACATTTGAGCTACTCACCCCCTCGCTTCCTGTGCTGAATCGTAAGCATAAGCGAATCACTCAGGACGCGCTCACCCCCTCCCTCCTGTGTTGAATCAAAGAGCGAGCGAACGAATCACTCACTCACTCACTCACTCACTAACCCCCTCCCTCCTGTGCTGAATCAATGAGCGAACCAATCACTCAGGACTCACTAACCCCCTTCCTCATGTGCTGAATCAAAGAGCGAGCGAACGAATCACTCACTCACCCCCTCCCTCCTGTGCTGAATCATAGAGCGAGCGAACGAATCACTCACTCACCCCCTCCCTCCTGGCTCACAGCTTCTTATTCTTCTTGGTTGGCAAACAATGTTAAGGCGCATTACCGCCCCCTGGCTCACAGCGCAGTGGACATTTAGATGAGAAAATATATATTTGACACACTTAAGGAAAATACTAATAAAATACAAATAAACAAAATAAATGTTTATTAAGCAATTTTGATAGGAAGTTGCTTAATGTCAAAGGAGCTTGCAAAGGAAAGCGTCTGGACGCTTTTCTTTGCAAGCTCCTTTGACTACGATGACCTGGATGACTGAGAACCTTCACAGACGTAGAAGTTGCTTAATTTTAGAAATGTTTTTGCTCTTTTTTCTCTATAAAATAGTTTTGGTTTTTTTTTTAATCATTCATCTTAGCAGTGGGATTTACATGAAAAGCGAAACAAATTAAGTTTGAGTGAAAATGTAAAATTTTGGCACTCTCTGGTCAACTGACTCAGTGAATCAAATGACTCAAAAATCTGATTCACTTTGGTGAGTGACTCATTAATACTCGATTCAGTAAAAAGAATCAAATTTACCATCACTACTCTCAGGTAAGAATTTCCCGGGGACCCGGAGGGGCTGGCCGAGGGAGACCCCGAGGTCTTCTTTAACCGCACTACTCAATCCCAGTAAAACCCACGGAAGACGGTCGACCCAGTCGCCACCTGTTAAGGAAGCCCAGAGCACGGCCTTCCCGTTAGCTTGCGGGTGGTATGCTGTGGTGCGGTGGACCTTGACCCCCAGGCCATCAGCCATGGCAGACCAAAGCTCAGAAACAAACTGGGGGGCCCTGTCTGAGGTAATGTCAGCAGGGGGACCGAAACGCGAAACCCACGTTGACAAAAATGCTCTGGCCACTGTCACCGCTGTCGTGGACACAGGGGTACCGCCTCCGGCCACCTGGTCGTGCGGTCCACCACAGTCAAAAGGTCCGTGAAACCCTGTGACTGCAGCAAGGGACCAACCAGGTCCACATGAACGTGATCGAAACGCCTACCGGGGACACGGAATAGTTCGAGGGGTGCCTGCGTGTGCCGGTTGATTTTCGAGTGTTGGGATGGGATACAAGCTGCCGGCCATTATTTCACCATTTTGCGAAGGCCCGGCCAAACGAACCTGGCGCTGACCAGCTTGACCGAGGCCCGGACGCTGGGATGAGAGAGGGCGTGCACAGAGTCAAAAACACGACAACGCCATGAAAGGGGAACCACCGAGCGGGGGCGGCTGGTGGAGACATCGCAAAGCAGGTGTGGACCGCCGTCCCACACAGAGGTGTCCTCCAGCAAGAGGCCCGTTTTCGTTGACTGAAGGGCAAGGATGTCCGGGTCAGCACGTTGTTCAGCGGACATGGCAGCGTAGTCGATGCCGACATACACCAGAGAAACCAACACGCGTGGGAGACAGTCAGCGACTGGATTGGACTTACCAGTCACATGCTGAATGTTTGTGGTAAACTCTGAAATGGCCACCAACTGGCATTGCTGACATGCGCTCCATGGGTCAGAGACCTTGGACATGGCAAAAGTCAAAGGTTTGTGGTCAACGTACGCAGTAAAGTTGCGACCCTCGAGGAAAAAACAAAAATGTTGTGTTGCGAGGTGCAGGGCCAGCAACTCCCTGTCAAAAACACTGTACTTGCGTTCGGCATCCCGGAGCGTACGACTGAAAAAGGCCAGCGGTTGCCAGAGACCTGAAACCAGCTGCTCCAACAAGGCAACCCAAATGGGCAACATCAATATATCATCCAGGTAAACAAAAACGAACGGCAGCCCGCGCAAAACGGAGTCCATCAGCCGCTGAAAGGTCTGGGTGGCACCTTTCAGGCCAAATGGCATGCGCAAAACCTGGTGATACCCCCGCACCAAGTCAATTTAAGAAAAAAATCGAGGTTCCGGCGAGATTGGCCGAAAAATCCTGAATGTGGGGGATGGGGTAACGGTCATTCTCCGTGGCATTATTTCAACGCCGGAAATCTCCGCATGGCCGCCACCGAGCGACCGATTTGGGCACTATGTGAAGCGGAGAGGCCCATGCACTGTTCGAACGCTGTACAATGCCAAGGCGCTCCATGGCTGCAAACTCTTCCTGAGCGACGGACAGTTTCGCGGGGTTGAGCCGGCGCCTCAACCCTGTGCTTCGTTACCGTTAGGGTAAGACAGCGATGGAAACTCTAAAAGCAAACGCTGAAAAGCAACCCCGGAGGTCACTACATTAGCCCGAATGAGGGGCTCGGCGGCCCGAGTAAAACAGGGTAGCGAAGAAAACGAGAGAGCACAAACATACTGTGGATGCAGGGGCGGAGGACAGAAGAGGGAGACAGTGAGACGGTGGTGGCCTAAAGAGAGAAGGAGGTATAAGCTGTGTCTCCCATCTATTATATTGGGGAACGTTCTGTCACTAGCAAACAAGATAGATGAGCTAACAGTGCTAGCATGGAGTCAAAGGGAATATAAGGAGTGTAGCTTGATGTGCTTCACTTAATCAAGGACGCACCAGGATACTC